ACACCAAAACACTTTTACTTTTACACTGGACGCGCGTTTCGCTAACCATGTTAGCATCATCAGCAGATGATTATAAACTTATTTTGCTGTGTAACACCAAAGGTTCCAACCCTCAACTGTAATCTGGATAGCTGCTTCACTTCGGCCACTCAAGTATCCTTGATCGAAAAAATATAGTTGGCTTTGAAATGACGATCAATGATAACGCCCATACAATTATATATTCATTTCAAAGCTAACTGTGATTAAATTCTATTTGATATTGTCTGATTTTATTTGCATATCAATGGAACAACATTTGTAACAATATTTTAAGACCGATTCGAAATTTGCGAAATACAATATTTCGTATATACCTACATAATATATAAGTTTGTTGATCATATATTTACTACTAACTCACTGAGAGTATAGTTTTTTTTAACAATATATTAGCGTGAAACGACTAATCTAAATTTTCATTAATATACAGCCTAAGAAATTTTGTATTCTCAGACGACAGTACTCGATTGTTTGCTAAATCTAAAATCTAAATAATCAATATTTGGTAGTCTCGACTGTTTGGTCTTGAAAAATATAACGTTTGTCTTGTCAGAATTAAGATGAAGTTTATTGCCTGTAAACCATTTTAACACTGATGTATAAAAATCTTTGCTGTATTATATAAGTTGTGTATGCGTAAGATCTACGTTTTTATATTTACTACTCCCTATCAATAGATTGGTGTCATCAGCGTAGTTAATAATGGTCTGGAGTGAGTTACTACTCATACATACATACATACCGCCATTACTCGCTGACGAGTATTTGACACGCATCAGAAGATGGTCACGCAAGGCATTTTCTTTCATGAGCTTTTCTGTGACTGAAAAGCCCGATACGTGATGTTATCTGTCTACCGCACTCCAGACATTCAAAAATCTTATTGATTTGTTGCCTCTTTACTTTTTGGTTGTCGCTCTTAACTGACTTTACAATTCTTCTCCATTCCATTCTATTGTGAGCTGCCTCTTCCCACTCATTCTGCTTGTTAATTCCCTTTAAGTTTTCGTGGAAAATATCCTTGAACCTTTTGAGTTGTCCACCCGGCCTCCTAGTAGGAATATCCCGGCCAAATGTAGAATGAGAATGTAGAATGAGTAAGAGGGGGGTTAATCACTGTGACGTTAAAGATCTATTGTGCCCCCCTTCCTTGAGTCATCACACAATCTATAACCCATCATACCCCTGTTGTAGAGGAGACAGGGTATTTCCCATCCTCCTCTGACAACAGTTCTTCTTCCGAGGGTACACACCCTTTCACGTTTGGAGTTTGGCCCTCCGTGCCGCTCTTCACAGTCGAGGAGCTTGCCTTCGGCTGAGAAACCCGTGAGGTAGAGGCTGGAGGATCTGTTTCCTTTTTCTCAACCTCTTTAACTTGGTCTCTCCTTAGACCTGATACCGGTGTTGTCCTGTATCTATAATAGAGCATATGCCCCTCTTTCTCTATTGCCTCCTTGGATTTGAGGTCAATTCCTATTGTGAGGACCTGACCATGACCCTCCTCCCTCGAGTTGATAACTCGCCAACTCGATGTCCTTACATTGAAGTTCTGACCTTGGATAAGGCTCAGCAGGTAGGTGGTGTCTTTCCCCTTGCTCCTCGGCAGAAAGACCCTTATGGCCGCCCCTTTAGGGATGTTTTCTCCCTTCACTGCAACCCTTGCCAATTTTTAAGCTTAGGTACGATTTCCACCAACATATTCGCCGATTCTTGAGATACACAATCTATGAGGATCATGCCAACTCGAAAGTGTATCCCCGCAAAACGCAGCTGACCCACATTTTGTAGATCATTGTGTTGCGATCCGATCGCTACTACTTCGTCCAGTATAGCCTCTTCTAGATACGTTTGCTGGTCGGTGGTCAGAGTAACCTCTAGGAAATCCTTTGTCAGCACCGCCATTTTCACATGTCCAGCAATAGCGACAAAGCTGGTGATACGTCCCTGCTTGCCTCCCGGTGTGTTCCGGCCAAATACTATCAGAAATGATGATTTATGGAGGTTGACAAACCAGAGGCAGGTGTATAACGAGATCAAACTTAGAAAATGGAGGTGGATTGGTCACACTTTAAAAATGTATACACTTTTGAATCTACAAGGCAGTAGAAGAACTGGTCGTCCAAGATATATATGGCAAGAGATCGAAGCAGCAAACTGGTCATGGCGAGATATCAAATCAATTACCAACAACCGAACCCGCTGGAAAGCATTTATTGAAACCCTATGCTCCACGTAAGAGTAAAGGGCAAAATGAAATGATCTAGGATTATATTTTCATCCGTCATTGAAACAGTGGCGGCTCGTGCTCATTATTGTATGGAGATGGAGGTCAATATCTAAAAATATTGCGTCGATTTTTTTCAAGACGCGCCCTCGGACGCTCCCAAATTTAATTGGTTTTTTACAAGGTAGTTGTACGCTAAGTTAAAGGAAAATAAATCTAAAAATAAATATAAATTCTGTTAAAATGAAACTTACCCTTACATTTTTAAACGGGTGGTCTAGTGCCATTTCACTAAAAATTCAGTAACCGGGTGCGTCTCAAAAGTGGCTCACCCCTAAAAACAAGATTTGGTACTAGTATATGACATAAATTAAGATTGATTGACGTATTCAATTGTTTTTTATCACTTCCTGCTTCACCGGAAATTACTGCAACTTTTGATTTTTAAATGGCACTCTTGGTACTTTTTGACTTTATTCGATATAAAATTATATTCTGAATAGAATGACATATCACATGTCAACATTTGACATTCTCGCTTAATAAAAAATCCTATTTCAATTTTCAATCTAGAGTGCAATGACTATGTTAAAAACACTTGGAAAAATAGATTTAATCGTCTAATGTTTTTAGTGTCTTGTTCTGGCCTGTTAAAATATACTCAAATCGTATTTTTAATCATATCTCATTTTTGTCAAATGGAACGAGAGTGGCTCATTAGCATATTTGGAAAAAGTATTTTTTATGAATAATTTGATACCACACACTTGGTATTTCGAGTTAAATTTTCGTTATGAACCGCAGTTATAATTTCAAATATGCGAAAATGTCAAAAGTTGAAATGCCATCCTATTCTAAGTGTTATTCTCTATCCAATAAAGTAAAAAAATACTGAGGGTGCCATTTAAAAATCACAATTTGTAGTCATTTCCGGTGAAACAGGAAGTGACCAAAAATAATTAAATACGTCAATCAGTCCTAATTTATGTCATATACTAATATACCAAATCTGTTTTTTTAACTGAAAAAATAAAAAAGTTATAGGAATGAGCCATATTTGAGACGCATCCGGTATATTCTTTACACAAATTTTCCACGATAGGATTTAAAAGACACTTAAATAATAATGTCACAAAAATATAAATGCATTTATACACATACACAATTCTAAAAGTTTTATTTCACATTTTTTTATATTTTAAGTCAATTGCGTTGTTTCTCTAAACGTTTTTCAAAATTTAAGCAAGTGTTTTCTTTTAACCGCACAGTTTCACAAACTAAACACCATGTTGTCTATTTTAAAATATCTATTCCAGAATAAGTCAACTACAGTTCATCATTTATCCATAACCAGAATATTATTATAAATTTTCACCTACACAAATTTCGCGCTACACCTCAACGCTCGGCTACGACAACTAAAACTAGATGGGATTTCTTTCGATATTAAAAATTTAAATATTGCTTTATATTGATTAAACCAAACATTATACGCGATAAACGATACAAAAACTACGTTGTTTTATAATTTGAATTTTTTAAACACCCAAACTGCCCAAACGGCGAAATTTTCCCAGCGATATGACAGACATCCTTTTATGAATGACGCGGTCAATGGCCAATATAAACTATATCTATCGCACCTTAACCCATTATATTTTCTAAACGTAGGTATAGTATACCTTACCTCGTTGGCGTCACGAGCCGCGGCACTTGGTGATTAATATGTGCAAAATATAGCGGGAACGGAAGGACAAAATGAAATTTTGATCGGCATCGGCAGTAGAGAAAAGGGGTAAAATAAAACGTTTTCAAGAGAAAATTGGCAAACTTGGAGATTTTTGGGAATAGTTTTGAATATATTAGGATGAAAAAAAGTGATTTACAAAAAGTATAATTTAAATAGCTTTTTTCTAATTTTCTTCTGATTTTTTTGGGGAGGCATTGACCATTTGACCTTATGGTTAAGAGTCTATTACTCTGTACTTTCAAGTCGCTCTCAGGGGTCGGGTAAAGCGGATGTGTGGCCGAAGGAAATATCTATTATATTTTAGAAATCTGCCTAAGGCTTAGCCCGATCCTGTCGTGTTAAGCCACACCTACAATTCCAGACACAGTACTTTGATTAAGGCCTGATTAGGGTTTGCAGAGCTTCAGCATTTGCCATAAAATAGCGAGCAATTTGTTACAAAACCATATAAATTATATATCACTGTAATCACAAAACTTCAATCTATTTCCGTATTGTAACGGAATTTTAAATTATGTCTTTATTTTCGAAAAAATTTAGTCCAAACATAAGGAATATTTTGTTGCTGTTTGACCATCAAAATCTTAAAAATAAAGAAGTTGTCTAAAAATGTGCTACAATACGGATAACTTATAATCCTTTATCTTAAATTTCCTTCTTCATTTGTGTAAAAATACCTAGCCAGTTTTACATAAAACGTTATTTAAATGCCGAACGCTTATTTTGCTACTTTTTCGGACTAGTGAAATGGACTCTTAAACCGCGACATTGAAAGCAAATAAAGTTCGTATTCGAATCCAACTGCAAAAACTTGCAGTGTGCTGTGTGTATTGTGTAGATCTACCTTAATACAAAATTCCCGCCACTTTACGGCAAACATTACACGGCTATTTTTACTTGGAAATTGGACTCGCCTTCCCACAATCCGATATATATGCATCGCAAATCATCACAGTATATATAAATTCATCTCTAGCCTTGTTTGAGATATAGTTTATCTGTTTTTATCTGTTAATAAATACGGTCGTGCCCAATTCACAATCGTCACTCGTTCGCAACCGTTCCGTACCGCCATAACGTCGGCAACACTGTCAGTGCTAAAGTACTAAAAACGCTCTCCGCAAAGTCGACTTAACAGCGCAACCAGCACAGCAGTACCGTCAAATTTTTCGCCGTGGGTAGTTCAGTGCTCTTAAATTTTCTACAAGTCAAAAACTCACCGTTTTAAATGTTTCGAGTATGGAAGTTAGATGCCAACTGTTCGATAAGAGTCTAAATATTTTGGTCGTCATCAGAAAACGGAAAAAGCGGAAGTTTTGAGGACTCTTTTCAACTCCTAATTTAAGTTCTAGTTTATATTATTATATTTCTGCTTGATCAGAGTATATTTCTGACCCGGTGATATTAATTTAAGTATAGATTATCGTGTAATTCGTTATTTAAATCGCTCAAAATGAACGGTACTAATGGAAATGGTAGTACGTACCAAAACAACACTTACACAGCAGTGTTTCAACCAGAAACCCTCCAAAAGAAGAAACAATCAGGTAAGTTTAGGATTCTACTGTATTTTCTATACTTTAACATGGTTATCGATAGTGCCCTTTGAGCTTCTTACAGTTTATTTATAAAACCAGACAATGTTGTCACTTCATTCCTCATTTTTAAAATTTTTCCACCAAATTTCCTTCTTTATGACATTTTGTAACAAATTTGACCATATAAATGACCGGACATTTCCCAGAATGTGTTAAAATGATGCGAGTAGGTGGTGTTTCTAAAACTGACAAGTAGTACAAGCCGGGTTTATAGCACGTGTTTAAAGAAAATGTGCTCGACTTTGACATCAGCTGGGCCGTGTTTACGCATGTCCGTTTTAGGGTCTTTCATGATGCGATAATCTTTGACTTCCCAACCGAGATAATTCTTCGAATTGTGTATGTCTCGTGATTTTGTTAAAGAGGAAGAGATATTAGTAAGAAATAATTTGTAAGATTTGCTTAAAAGTATTGTGCAAAAATAAACTGGCATTTCGACACACTTTTGTAGCACGTGAGATTTTCATGGTAGTGGGACCGATTGTTTGATGTTTTGAGTTTTGAGAATATACCGGGGGTTTCTCAAAAGTGGCTCACCCCTATAACTTTTGTATTTTTTCAGATAATAAAACGAAATTTGGTATGTTAGTATATGATTGGGATTGATTGACGTATTCAAATACTTTAGGTCGCGTCCTGTTTCACCGGAAATTACAATTTTTAATTAAAAAAATAAAATAAAATAAAAAAATACTGAGGTGTCCTCAGTAATTCTCAATATTTTTTTACTTTATTTGATAGAAAATAAAATTTGAAATAGAATGGCCAATTTTTGAGATTTTCAATTAAAAAAAATTAATACGTCTATACTAAAATATGTTAATAAAAAGTTGGTAGGCAGTTCTTTTAGCTTCAAAGTAAAGGAATTTTTTCAATTTTGGTCCGCTATTATTTCCCCTATCCGCCACCTGGGGTCGCGTCCGATGGGAGTTTGGAGTTCTCCACAGGGAATAACTCTCAAAAACTGCAACTTTGACTGATTTTGATGTTATTACAAATTTTGTTGAAAATATTATTCCTAATCTTAAATTGAAAACCGCGTTTCGCTAGCTACTGTAATTTTGGAGTTACGATTTTTTAAAATTTTTAACTCCCTCCCATACCCCGTTACCAACCCCCCACCTCCACCTAAAACTAATGGCCAGATTATCGGGTGCCACAGTATTTTAGTGCCAAATTTGGTTAAAATCGGTTTAGCGGTTTATATGTGTTATCGTGTTACTGACGGACAGACAGACACTATGAAAATATTTTGTATTTAGGTCATTTATGACCCAAATAACTCATTTTGAGTGAAATTAAAAAACTTTTTTTTTGCCGATCTTAATAGCCTACCATACCTGTTGGTATGGTCGGCTAAAAATACTGAGGTATCCTCAGTAACCCTCAATATTTTTTTACTTTATTTGATAGAAAGTAATATTCGAAATAGAATGGCTAATTTTTGAGATTTTCAATTAAAAAAATAGCATTGTAAATTTAAATCAAATGGATATCGTTGAACAGACTTATATTCATTAAGCACACGTAATCATATCCAAAATGAAGACAAAATAATTTACAATTCACATCCAAGGGTGCACTGAAAAGGAAAAAAAATACCAGATAGATGTACTTTTGAACAAATACCATTTCTGTGTCAGCCATAGTCCACAAAGACAAACAAAATTGAATAAATTTTTGTATCGTAGTAGAAAACATCTTCCAACGAAAATTGCTGCAAAACTCTCATCTATTTTATATCTATTGTATCATTTTGCATCCACTCGTTAATTTTTTCGAAGACAAGACAATTTTCTTTACAAGAGTAAAAAAAAATATTATTGATATTTTGAGAAAAATGCATTCTTCATAAAAAATTTTGCTTGTTTCAAAATAGTTAATCCCGTTTATACTTTTCCAAATTCCCAAGTTCTAAAATCCAAACGCTCTCCGTTTTAATAAAATGTCGTTTTAATTCCTTGTTAGATTGATATAAAGAGACTAAGAAAATGCTAACTGAAATGGAACGATATTGTTGAATGATTATTTTGCATAAATGTAAAAATTTAGTATACTAACTGTATTTTTTCTCTTTGTGACGTCCTTTCATTTTGTTAATTTGTATAACAAATTTGAAATAAAGTTATTATTTATTTATTTATGTTATTGATAGAATTTTCATTAACGCCATATTTTTTGCTGTTTTAAATATTAAAGCACAAAAGTTATTTAGTTTAAAGCTGCGGAAAGGGTGATAATAGTTATAGAAAAATGTGATACAAACAACAGCAAAAAATATGACGTTAGTTTATAATAACCATCTATCAAAGAATATAATCGAAATACTAATACCATAGAAACGCCTTTTATTAGGAAAAAAATCAGCCAATATTTGTATATATTCTTTTAATTTTTCCTAAAACGGTATCGGAATTTGGAAAAGTATAAACGGGATAATCACTTTAGAACAAGCAAAAATGTTACAAATTTACTTTTTTATCTAAGTTTTATTTATTACACTTTACTCAAAATGTCAATAATAAAAAAGCATTTCCTCTTGTAGAGACAATCCAGGAACATACTGTAGTGTGCCCCATGGCTGTGTTAAAATTATTAATTTTTAATCAAGGAGCTTTGGAAAAATAGATTTGATCGTCTAATGTTTTAGTGTCCTGTCCTGGCCTGTTAGAAGATCCTAAATGGTATTTTTAATCATAACTCAATTTTTTCAAATGGAACGAGGGTGGCTTATTCGCATATTTATATTTCTATGAATAATTTGGTACCACATACTTGGTATTTCGAGTCAAATTATGGTTACATTTATGACCATGGCATTCTAGAGTGAAATTAGAAATGCTGTTTTTTATTGAAAATGTCAAAGTTGATATATGATATGTCATTCTATTCGGAATGTCATTTTCCATGGACAAGATTTGGTCATTTTATATCATATATGGAATAAAAGAAAAAAATTGCGAGGGTTCCCTTTAAAAATCCAATTGTATCCAAATCCAAAAAGTTGTAATTTCCAGTGAAACAGGAAGTGACCGAAAATAATTGAAAAGTCGATCAATCCTAATTTAGGTCCCATTCTATCATACCAAATCTCGTTTTTTATCTGAAAATATAAAAAATTTATAGGGGGTGAGCCACTTTTGAGAAACATCCGGTAGAAATAATTACAAAAATTGAACTTTTCATGAGAAGAAAAATAGGAAAATTATCAAAAATGTTTTCTGAATTTTTATTAGTTCCTGCTTCATTTAATGACAAAATCAATCTATATTTAGGCAATTAAATGACTCGTTTTCGCTTTGTTATCCCTACAATATAATATTTGCAAATCTCAATATTTAGCCAACTATTCTTGGCTTGATTTGAAACGTAGGATACAAATTTTTAAGAAAACAATTATTAGTATTGGTGACCAATATAATTATAAAACTAGACTGACTTATAATATTTTATAGTAGAAAAATACACCAAGCAACAGGCTATGATATTTCAAATATTCTGTATTTTAAAAAAATAAAATGATAAAAGTCTTGTCAAAAATACGAAAAGCAGAAAAATATATGTTAAATTACATTTTACAAATACATAAGCCAAGAAATCTAAGTTTTCAAAGTTGATTTCTGAAAAATTGGCTTTATAGTAAGATTTTTTTGACGATAGAATATTGTGTTATTATGTTTCTCTCTATAATTGAATAAATTATGTGGTTTTTATTTTATTTATATTTATTGCTATATAAAAACTCTAAAGACACAAAACAAGTTAAATACCCGGTGCGTCTAAAAAGTGGCTCACCCTCACTCATTTTTTCAGGTAAAAAAACGAGATTTGGTGTGTTAGTATATGACTTAAATTAGGATTGAGTGACGTATTAAATTGTTTTCGGTCACTTCCTGTTTCACCGGAAATGACTACAACTTTTGATTTTTAAATGAAACCCTCGGTATTTTTTTACTTTATTTAATAGGAAATAACACTCTGAATAGAATGACATATCATATGTCAACTTTTGACATTTTCGCTTAAAAGAAAATTGTATTTTAAATTTCAATCTAGAGTACCATGGCTGTGTTAAAAACACTATTTTTTAATCAAGGAGTCTTGGAAAAATAGATTTGATCGACTAATGTTTTTCGTGTCTTGTTCTAGCCGGTTAAAAGATGCCTAAATCGTATTTTTAATCATATCTCAATTTTTTCAAATGGAACAAGGGTGATTCATTAGCATATTTGGCAAAAACTTTTTTACGAATAATTTGGTAACACACACTTGGTATTTCGAGTCAAATTGTCGTTATGAACCGCATGTTACAATTTTCAAATAAACAATATGTGAAAATGTCAAAAGTTGACATATGATGACATGTTATTCTATTCAGAGTGTCATTTTCTATCCAATAAAGTAAAAAAATCCGTGGGTATCATTCAAAATTCAAAAGTTGTAGTCATTTCCGGTGAAACAGGAAGTGACCAAAAACAATTGAATACGTCAATCAATCCTAATTTATGTCATATACTAACACAACAAATCTCGCTTTTTATCTGAAAAAAATAAAAAATTATAGGTGTGAGCAACTTTTGAGACGCACCCGGTATATTAAAATATCCAATAAAATACAATTTTTAACTTATATCAAAGAATATCTTATATCCTTGTTTATCAAGTTAAGCTTTTCAGTATTAGCTGCTTGTGACTTGTGAGATGTAGTATCACTGAACGGTTTAATATGTATTGAAAGAATAAAGAATAATCAGTTATTGTATTTTGATGTCTAGTATATGCAAAACAAAGAATTTAATCGTATTATGACATTTCTTTCTTAAAATTAAGTTTTTCTTTGGATTGGTAAAGCTGTTTACTAAAATCTGGGTCACCCTGTATAAAAAATACCTATCGATACAGGAAAAAAGTAATTACGTGATAAGTGCTATTGTTTAAAAAATACAAAA